TCACAATACTCCAGTATGTGAATGCACAGCTACTAATCCTAATGAAGCATGCGAGTTTAGACTTGATATTGAGATGCTGCAGACCTTCACCCGATATCTGCTGGATGATGATAAAGACTCTCGTGGTACTGCAGGCAGTGTCTGGCACATTAATAATGGAGAATGGGAACCAGTTGATCCCATGAGAAACACTCTTTGTGGTAGTTCCATGAATGATGACCAATGCACTCAACCATTTGGTGTTGATGGGTACACGTTTCGTTCCTTTATAGCAGTCAATGGACGTATACCAGGACCAACACTCATTATAACTGAGGGTCAGTTGGTTAAAGTGAATGTAATCAATAGATTAGCATCAGAGAGTGTATCTGTACACTGGCATGGGATGCATCAAAGGAACAGTAACTGGATGGATGGAGTGGAGCATGTTACACAGTGTGGTATACCACCAGGGGCTAGTTTTACTTATTATTTCTATGCAACTCAATATGGGACTCACTGGTACCACTCTCATAGTGGAGCTCAGAGAACTGATGGACTCTTTGGAGCTCTCATTGTTAAAGAGAAATATAATACACAGAGAAACATTCTGTCAAGAGAATTAATAGATTTTGAAATAACATCTTATGAAGACAACCCAGCACAGCACACTCTAACTTTACTAGATTGGCAAAGAAGTAGCTCACTAGATCTCTTCACACAAATACACTCGGGCATTAGGTACTTTAGCATTGATGAGGCATCAAAGTTAGCAACATCAACAACTGATAGGAGAACCATTTCATCAGATGGTGCAGAGATAGGGCCCGTGCCTTATTGGTCTGGACTAATAAATGGAAGAGGAAGGCATAGTAGTGTTGATTACATCAATTCTAGTCTGAGTGAGTTTAAAGTTACAGCTGGAAAAACTTATCGATTTCGTTTAATTGGTGCTCAGAGTCTTTATGCTTATCGTTTCTCAATAGAAGATCATAAATTAATTGTTATAGCAACTGATGGTCAGTTCGTTGAGCCAGAGACAGTTGATTATATCATAATACACTCTGGAGAAAGATATGACTTCCTTTTAAAAACAGAAGAAGCGACTACTACTAAACAGTTCATGATACGTGCAGTTACATTAAGTATGACTGGCGCTGCAGCACTAAATTCTATAGAAGAAGAGTCAGCAGAAGCTATTCTTAATTATAATCCTCTTCTTAATGTAAGATCCAATCAATATAACACTATTGCTGACAATAGACTAACTGTGAGTCAAAGATGTACTTCTATTGATAAGTGTATAGCACTCAATTGTCCTTTTCAGAATTTTCCTCAAAGTTTTAATATTGACTGTATACACATTAATAATTTAACAAGGCTGTCACTGTCAGACACACAGGAAGACCTGCCTAGTGTTGCTACTACTGATGACTCAAGATTGTTCTTCAATTTCGGTTTTGAGGGAACACGACTCACCAGTGCTATTAATGCTCGTAACCTAAAACTACCATCAGCATCACTGGCACAGCTAGATGATGATGAACTGGATGATATTAACACTAGAGAATTTTGTAAGGGTGTGGGTGAGCCTAATACATGCAATCGTGATAATGCAGCAGAAGTGATATCTTCAGAATGTTACTGCACTCATGTTGTTCCTGTAGAGGACGAAAAATCCATTGAATTAGTAATATCGGCTACTGGACCAGATTATGATGATGTTAATCCACAGACTTCTAAATTTTCATTTGCTCATCCAGTACATCTTCATGGTCATTATTTTCATGTCGTTGATATTCGATTTGGTGAAACTGATGAGGACTCTGGAAGACTTAGAACTGGTACTACAGAAATTGATTGTGGGCCTCAATCGACAACAGGCAATCCTATGCTCTGCAATAATCCTTCATGGAATGGCATAAGAAGTGACACCTATAATTATCAAAGCACTGGTAAAATAAATCCCAAAGCTCCACTGAAGGATACTCTGTTAATACCAGCTGGTGGGTATGCTGTTGTGTATTTTAAAACTGATAATCCTGGTTGGTGGTTCCTACACTGTCATATTGAGGTACATCAATTGGAAGGAATGGGAGTCATCATTAATGAAGGAGGTGATAAAAAAATACCTGCTCCTTATAAAATGCAGAAATGTGGTAATTTTGAGCTAACAGTAGATGAGTTTAAGAAAGCAATAAAGGGCAAGCTGAATCCTAGTGATAATAACACTTATGAATTTGCTACATATGTTTTAGGAGGGATCATTGTTTATATCCTCTTGTCTTTAACTTGCTACACCGTGTATAAGAAAAAATGTAAGAAAAAGACATGAAAGTGAAGTAGAAAATGGCACAGGAGGGGAGAGGAAATAAAAAAGAAGTACCCCTATGCTGGAACATTATTAATAGTTATTAGTAGTCATGTAGTTATTAGTGGTTATTAATAGTTATTGCTAGTTATAACGGTTATTACTAGTGCATGATCAGTATTAATTACAATAAATAATAATACTGCAACAATTATGGCTGGACATCAGTTGGAGGGAATGGGAGTCATCATTAATGAAGGAGGGTTTAAAACCCCATCGCCT